TGAGGTAAGTAATGATTGTAAATGTTGTCTTGAGGGTATGAAACCCCGGATTTTACATCGTTGTGCTATTTTGAGGTGACGCACACGCTAGATGACGAGCGTGGGGTCGTGCACCATTGGGGATTGTGACTTGGTCCGGCCCATATGGTTGTTAAGTCGCGTATTTGACGGAACACTGTTTAATATCATTGTGTTTTAGACAAATATTACTATATTTAGGGCTAAATGTCGTCTTCGGGCCTTGTACCGATTGTTTGGACCCTTAGGGGATTTTTATTACTGTTTCCTCTCTGTTTTGGTAATATTTACACTCAGTCATGCTATATTTTCACTGATTCACAACTCGGGTTTTATTTACTCCTTTTGTTGTTATAAATGTTATGTTGAGCCAAGTACCTGTTTTTACTGTTTGGCCGAGGGGCTTGAGTGAGTTCCGACTGAGAGAGGCCGAGGGCCTGTGTTGTGAGGATGTTTTGGGATCGGGCTGTGGTCACGCCCAACTATGACTTATAAAAGGACACGCGGACGTTGCAAATATAATTTGAGTATTTATGCCCAGAGTCGAACCCACAGGGAATTAACCTATCAATTACTTTCGTTGGACTTACTAAATTCTACGGAATCAACTTCCTCAAACGTTGTAAATAACAGTTGATGGTATTACTAATAACTAAGATTGAAAGTAAATAAACAGCTGAAAACTAACTAAGCTAGAGTTGTAAACAATTATGAGAAGGTTCTAAGGCTATGATTTCCCCTATTGATGGAATCCCTTCCGGGTATGCTTCATATAGATTCAACAAAATATCTCTATCAATCATCAGCACTCCTTTTACCGTAAATCTCTCCCGAGTAATCACGATAATTTACTAGACGCACTCTCCGAGATACACTAGCTGGATTTGTTTATTACAGCTCACTTTAGATTACACCCAAGGCTTCGTTATCCCTAATCCCGCCTTTAAACCCGCAGTTATAGATCCCTCTTATACTTTGGGAGTGATGTTGTTCAACAACTACCTAAATATGCACTCTCTCCCGAGTTATGCACACTAAATAGGCACAGCTAATTGAGGATCCTGTCAATTAACTACAACAAACACGTAGTTGAACAAATAGAGATTAAACTGGCAAACTATATTAACATAATCACGAAGTTCATCCTTCAATAGGTTCCATCAAAACCCTAGACAAAGGAATTAGCTACTCATGACAAAACGAGAATAAACTACTAAATTATTCATAACGGGTAATTGCAAGAAAATAAAAGAGATAGAAAAACTCTAATGTTTGGTTGATCTTCTCACACTTGTTCTTGCCTCCAAAAGTAGTCTAAAACAAGCTTAACTTCAACTTGGGCGAGTTTCTAGAGCTTATAAGGGTTTTACAAAAGTTTTCCCGAAAATACACTTTAGTCCCCAGACTTCCAGCAGCGTGAACAGTTCACCGCGGTTGCGGCGTAGACCGCGGTCGACTGCAGTGACAGCCGACCTTACCGCCTCACATTTTAATCCACCGTGGTCGCGCTGCGGTCCACCGCGGTCGCGGTGGAATTCTTGCCCAGGCCATTTTCTGCTCCTTTGTGCTCGGGTACTTCTCGAGTGGGCGTTTTCTTCACATTATCGCCTCCAAAACACTCTGTGTTGCTTCCTCAATTCCCTGCGAAACAAAAGAACACTATTTAGAGCATTTTGTTGGCACTTTACCTATAAAACAACAACAAAGCATGGTCATATTAAGGTGTAAATATCAACTATATAGCCTACTATCAGGCTGCGCGCCGCAGCTTGTTACACTGATTTGTGATATATGAGAGGCCGAGGGCCTGATTTGTTATGCCACGAGATGGCTTGTGATAGCGCTTGGGCTGTAGGAGCCCCTCCGGAGTCTCTAGACCCCCAGTGAGCGCGGGTACCCAGTGTGTGATGTGATATTGCCCGAGGGGCTGTTGTTGTTTCATGTTGTTGCCCGAGGGGCTGATACGAGTGATTGTGAGGTAGCCGAAGGGCTGGTTCTGTTGATACTTTTAACACACCTTATACACCTTACTATCATGGCTATGTGGTACCTTGTATGGTACTAGTCCATAAATACCGGGTATTTTAGCTCGGGTCGTATTTTATCCCAAAATGTCAAACTTCGACGAAATTCATTTTCTTCGATTTGCTTACCCTCTCACCTTCACGAATCTACTCATTACTTGTTTGAAATAGCATAAAATACTTATAATCTTAAAATAATCTCATTCTCGAACTTACATCGATTAACTTACAACGAAACTTTAACATACGAAAAATGCGGGATGTAATATCTCTCATTTCCGAGCTTTTATCAATTTACTTATGGCGTACTTTCACGTACGAAAACATGGGGTATAAGAAGAGAGTTATCATTTCAAGATTAAAGGAAATGCGGACGGCACAATTACTGCGCGGCCGCAAAAGTCAGCTACGCGGCCGCACTCAGAAATGTGCGGTCCGCAGAAGAGCCCTAGGCGGCCGCACCCAGAATTGTGCGAACCACAGAATATGAGAGAGCGGCCACATTTCAGAATTGTGTGTCCACAGATTAAACTTCTGTCAAGACTGAAGCAAAGGGCGGACCGCAAATGGATTTGTGCGGCCGCAGAACCTCTGGAATGGCATTTTTGTCCGAAAATTCCAACTTTGTATAAATAGAATAGTTTCACGAAATTAGAACAAGTTTTGAATATTCAAAGTGTTGTGGCCGTTTCTTCTTACTTCTTTAGGCAACTTTATTTTGGTGATTTAACATTGGGTTTTCATATTTAATCTTTCAATATGATTTTTATTATGTTTTCTTCTTTGTTTTCTTCTATACCTACTATGAGTAGCTAGATTCTCACTAAGGTTGTGACCCAACCCTAGAGTGTAAACCTAATGTGTGTTTGATTTGTTGCTTGTTCATGGTTGGGTTTTTATTATTTAGCCTTGTTCGAATAATCTTCAGTTGATTACTTTCCAGAAAAATTAACACTTGATTTGATGATTATCAACTACGATTAACAACTAAAAATTTAGTAATTAACTCTTGATCATAAAAAATAGCAGGTGAGCAACGAAGAAATATCAATGAGAGAAATAAGGGTAATTGACTAGACAGGTGCAAGATAATTAACTCGAGATCCAATTCTTGAGTTAGTTCACTTTATAATGCTTTTGATTCTCACGAATTGAACAGATAATTAGATTACACTTGAAGTTAATGTTTCTTTTTCGATTAAACGCTAATTTCAGTAATTAATCCAATTGAAGCACGATAAACAATAGCAACGAATAAAATGATGGTTTTGGTCTAAAGGGTAACTTCACGCAAATATTTCCCTATTTTTTAAGTTTGATTAAAAATTCAAGAGTCTCTTTTGATTACCTATTTGAATCACGAATTTAAACTAGAGCATAAGATGTAAAGAAATTCAATATCAAGCTCCTTCTTCGATTAAGCAAAAAGAGAAATAGCCATAAATTGACCAGTCTCTTAACTTGGGTTACTTGTATCGAGTGCAAATGTATATTAGGATTGTTTTGGTGCAAATACTTAAAATGCAAACTCGCCGGTGCTATATATATAAGTATATCTAGCATTGATTTTGGCAGTGATTATGTTCTTGACGTATATCCTTAATAGCCTTTATAGGGTTAAGAGTATTTGCTAAATCGGGTATCAAAATCTTATTGTTTCTAATGATATAATGTTGTAGTTATATCACAAAATGTATGACGAAGGAGGAGGAGTTTGACAAATTAGTCAAATTTTCAATAGTTTACACCAAGAACTCCATGCAAAACGTTTGAAGTCCTAATGTAATAAATTTCTCATTGATATGTAGTACCGCTGTACCGGTATTTATATATGTCGACGCCAAATAACTGGTCGACCTTAACATTAACAGATGTTAAGGTCTCTATTATAAATATAGACATTAAGTCTATATTAAAAATTGTTAGGCTAGGTTATATGATATTCCAAAAATATGAATATAACTTATATTGTGAAATATATGGGAATTTGACCAAAATCGTCCCTCTTGTTTCATCCTAACTTTCACTACATCCTTATAATATTTCACTTAACCTAGAACATCCTTTAAGTTTCCCAAAAGTTGACCAAAAACAACCTTCTGTTAAATTTGAAGTTTATATTTGACTGATCTTGTACTCTCACGTGACTTCTCTTTTTCCTCCCACTTTCCTCACAAAATTTTCCCTCCTTCCTCCTTTTGACAGAACAAAAAGCCACTTTTGGGAAACTTGTGATAGGGTTTCTAATGGTTGAACAACTTCTTCTTGAGTGAAGCTTCTACCTTTCAGTGTAAATTTGACAATCTCGCTGTTGCACTTGTGATACACTCCTAACCAACGTTCCAAAAAGTAAGTCCAATCTCATTTTAGTTTTTCTTGGTTTATTTTATTTATAGACATTACTTCTAATATTCTTCCTCTAAAATGAATGTAAAGTAAAAGTAAAGGCATAATACCTTATTATAATATACAGTAGGCTGTGGACAAATGAACGTAAAGGTAAAGGCATAAAAAATTACATGTTAAAACAGCAGGGGACCACTTTTAAGAAAGAACCTTATGTTTCACATATAAAAATTAGCTTCTTTTAGTATTATATAACAAAAATTACTTTATTGGCAGATTCAATGTTCGAGAGTCAAGCAGTATATAGTGATTCTGATAATGAGTCCGATTATGGAGAGTTTGAAGATTCAGATTACGAAAATGACATTTTATTTGACAGAAATGTTGATCCTTCTGTTGAAACATTTTATGTCAATGCCAACAGAAATACGAGAACAAATGATGATAGTGGAGAGTTTATTAGCAAAGAGTTGCAAAAGCATATGCAAAACGAAGATGGCGACTCAGATTGTGTTGTTTCTAGTGACAAAAAAGCTTGAAAGTGATAGCGATGCATCTAATGAAGATTTTAACTTTCCAAAGCATAATGCGAAGACTGATGGCTCTAATCCTATGATAGCATTAGGACAAGTATTTCAAAACAAAAAAAAGTTTAAGGAAGCTGTAACTACTCACGAGGTTAAAAGAGGAAGGACGGTCGAGTGGATTAAGGATGATTCAGAAAGAGCAAGGGGAAGATGTAAGCATCGTCCCTCTTGTAAGTGGGTAATTCTAGCTTCAAAAATGCACAGGGATACAAATTTTCAGATAAAGACTTACAACTCCGAGCATACATGTTTTTGTTGGAATGTCAAGAATAAGAATGTTACATCCAGTTGGATTGCAAAGACATATATGGACAGAATCAAATCAAACAGAGATTGGAAGACATCAAAATTTAGAGATGAAGTCAGTAGAGCGCTGGGAGCAGACGTATCTTTATGTCAAGCAAGAAAAGCTAAGAAGAAGGCTATTTCTCTGATTGATGGTAACTTAAATGACCAGTTTAGCATGTTGTGGAATTATATCAATGAGATCGTGCGATCTAATCCTGGAACATCAATTTACATGGAGTTAACACCAAATGAGACCCCTAACAATCCGTCTAGATTCCAACGATTATACATTTGTTTTGCAGCATGTAAAGAGGGCTTTAAGGCAGGTTGTAGGAAGATTGTTGGTGTTGATGGTTGCAAGTTGAAAAATTCTATGTACGGAGCACAGTTGCTTGCTGCCGTTGGTTTGGATGGCAATAACAATATCTTTCCTATAGCCTATGCCATTGTGGAAAAGGAGTGCAAGGATACATGGCAATGGTTTTTGAACTATTTGATGATTGATATTGAAATAGAAGAGCAATATCTCTGTACATTCATGTCAGATAAGCAAAAAGGCCTTCTTAAGCTTTTGAGGAAGTGTTACCAAATGTTTCTCACAGGTTTTGTGCGCGACACTTGCACAATAATTTCAAAAAGTCTGGGTTCCCTGGTCATACGTTAAAAGATGCTTTTTGGGAAGCAGCTAGAGCAACAACAGTTGAAGCGTTTAATATATGTATGTTGAAGATACTTGAATTGGATAAAGAAGCGCACGAATGGCTTTCTACTAAGTTACCTAGTGAATGGTCCAAATCTCACTTCTCACCACTTTCTAAGTGCAACATGCTGTTAAACAATGTGTGTGAGGTCTTCAATAGTTTGATTCTTAATTTGATGCTAGAGATAAACCCATTATTAAACTTTTGCAGACCATAAGACATATACCCATGGCTAGGATTACAACCAACAGGGATAAAGCTGAAAAATGGGCTTCGGGTGATATTTGTCCAACTATAAAAAAGAAATTACATAGATACATGAAGGGAGCTTCTGGTTATATTCCTCGAAAGCCGACTCATGGAATTATGAGATCCTAGGGTCTACTGAAAATGATACTTATGCTGTGGACTTGTATAACAAGATATGTAGCTGTAGAAAATGGGAATTATCAGGGATACCTTGCAAACATACTATTTGTGCTATATGGATGAAAAAAGATGAGATTGGAGACTATGTTCACGACTGCTACAAGGTTGAGACATACAGGAAAGCATATACAACCATATTCCCTATGAATGGGCAAGATTTATGGCCTAAATCATCTAATCCTAAGCTATTGCCACCTTCTTATTTGAAAAAGGAGAAAGGAAAGAAACAGAGATTAAGAAAGAAAGAAGTGGATGAGCCTGGAGCCTCGAGGACTAGGATAAAAAGAAAACAAAAATCAGTTGATTGTAGCAAGTGTGGTAGACCTGGCCACAATAAAAGAACTTGCTCTTTATATAATGTTGTTGAACCAGAACCAACAAACTGCACTTCATTTTTGGACTCTATTATGGTTGAGAACACAACAAGTTGGACGCAAGAATCTGCCCCTTTTCGTGACAAACTTCCGGCGAGATGCATATATCAATATTGTTTGTCTTACTTCACTGTAATGAAATTCATCTATCTTAAGGTCCTCTTATTCCCTTTTGAGGTTAGAAAAGGCCAGTAGCATAAATGTGCCAAGTTGCATAGCATCATAGATGTGACAGTCATTTCCATTTTGTTCATTTTGTAATGACAGGATTTATTTTGGAATGCCGCAAGTTCATTTTGTAATGTGATGACTACTAAGCGAATTAAGTTCATTTCGTATGACTCAATTATGAAGCTTTCAGACTTTTATTATTTACATGTTTCAACTTTTGGCATTTGGTATTTCTGTAATTAGTTTTCTCCATTTTGCACTTAATTTTCAGTTTCTGCACCATAATTTATTGCAATCTGCACTTTTTTCTGCATTCTGTGCATATTTTTCAGTTTCTGCATACATTTCAATTCCTGCACTATAATTATCTAGATTCTGCACTTACATTTCAGATTCTACACAGATCCTGCATTAAATTTTTCTTGATTCTGCACTAAATTTTCAGTTTCTACACATATTTTTCATTTTCTGCACTATATTTTTCTTGATTCTGCACTTAAATTTCAGTTTCTGCAAATTTATTTTATTTCTGCACTATATTTTTCTTGATTCTGCACTTACATTTCAGTTTCTGCACACATTTTTTAATTTCTGCACTTACCCTTACAATATATTGCACTCTGCACACATTTTTTAATTTCTGCACACCAAAATCTGCACTTTTATTAATTTCTGCATACATTTTTCAATTTCTACACACCAAAACTGCACATTATTAAGTTTTCGCAGACCAAAATCTGCATATTTTTCAGTTTTTGCGCGCAATTCTCTACCCAAATATAGGAAAAATGCGCTGAAACCAATTCAAAAGATTCTCATTCTGCAAAAGAAAATACTTGATGAGTTTGGCCAAGTCACAAAAGATCCTATCAAGGGTAATTTACCTGATACAGTAATACCTGGAGGTGGAATTGTATAGCTTTAGTCTTTAGATAATATTGCATCCGTAGATATTAGAGTAATACACCGGTTGTGTACTGAGAATCACAACCGGATCCCCTATTAACGCAAAGCCTAAGTGGCAAGCTCAAAATCAATTGTATTTATTTTAGTTATCCTAACATTTCGTTATTAAAATTTCACATAATACTTGGTCCAATTTCCACTCCTCAAACAATAACTTCTCGTTACATCCTTTATACTCCATGTCTCGTGAACATGATATATTAGTCGCTGATGAACAGATTAGTCAACAAGTTTCCATAAGTATGTCTCGCTTTCATAGGTATTGCAAAGAGTGACGTTTGTCCTAAAGAACACTTCACGAGGTAAGATAATCTTTCTGACATAGAGCCAAAAATTTTATTAAGGAAAGTCAAAATATAAAAAGTAAATATACAAATAATATATATATATATATATCACCGGCGATTCCCGACAAGTCTTTTCCCGGGAAGCGGAAAAAGAAAAGAAAATGAATCAAAGCAATGGACCGGCTAATTTCAGAATACATCACATCTCTAGGGTTAACCCTATCTATCGCCCTTCTTGTGGCTTTTAGGGCTGGACAGGCCAGAAATATCAATTACATTAATATGGGGAATAAGCTCAATCAATTTACTATAGATACGCTAAAAGAAAGAATCGTATATATATATATATATATATATATATATATATATATATGTGTGTGTGTGTATAATTTTCGGAAGAAAAAGATGTCAAAAATTGAATTGACACACTTTGGACAGAAGTGCTCCACTGGGACGAGGGCTTGTAGTTGCCAACCAAAAGGGATTGGCCCTTTCACTAAGGCCTTCGTTGATGAACAAAGCGGAATGATCTTTTATATTTCATAGGGGATCTTGGTCCTCGGAACTTTCAGAAATGACTATTGTTTCAAGGCTTAACGTTGGACGTAGCTATAATTTAATTAATTATATTTTGTAGCTACTAATTGTTTAACATGGATATATGTTATTGTATTCAATTCGGTTGTACGCATTGTATCCAATTCATATGTATTCGTTCTTATATTTACATTGTATTCAATTTCGCTATATTGAATTCAGTTGTATCGAAACAACAATTCGGTTATATACATTATATTTAATTTGTCTATATTCGTTCTTAACTATTTTACATTGTATTCAACTTCACTGTAAGTAATCTGACTGTATTATACAAAACAATGATATTCAGGTCCAACAATGAGATTGGGTACTAACCTGGCAATGGTGACTCGCATTGAGAATTGGGTACTAACCTGGCAATGGTGACTCCCATTGAGAATTGGGTTTAAATGCGAACCCCCTGCATATATAAATACCTGCGTGTTGTTCTTATTTGAGGTTATTTTCATTCAAGTAATACCCCAACATCATAATTTCATCATTTAAAAATTAGTTTAATATGTGTTACGGTCTAAACTTATTAATCCGTACAAAAATCACATACCGGTGGAACGGAGCCGGAACAGGAACCGGATCGCCTAATACATAAAGAAACAATTCTCAATAGGTTTATATATGATAACCTTTGGATCCCTTGTGATCCAAAGGCGCATATGTGTTTTACATGGGTAGCATATAGGTAGAACTAGCCTTATTTATATGTTGTTTTTTTTGTATCATGTATTATTTGCATAAATATATCGTGAAATGCCTGACGTCATTTATGATGGTAACCATATTGGAGTTGTTGGAATATTGGGCGTTGAAAATTATTGAAATGTTGGTTTTGCTGTTGGTGCAGAAGTGAGGGATATTTCTCTTGGGATGTGTAATACTTACACTACTAGAATTCCGGAAAAAAACAACCAGCAAAAGCGACCAACGTTGGTCGCTTATTAGCCAAAAAGTGACCAAAAAGCGACCAACCACGCCTGATCGATATTAAGCTGGTCCCTTTACCTTAGGGACCAAAGTTGGTCGCTAAATAGCGACCAACGTTGGTCTCCCAGGTAAAAGGACCAAATTATCCGGGTAAAGCATATAGCGACCAACTTTGGTCGCTCAAATATTTTAATATTATATATTTGGCGACCAAAGTTGGTCTCCAGATGTAAATAACGTTTTATTTTTATTTATTTTTAATCATATTAAGCGACCAACTTTGGTCGCTATATTAATAAATGTTATAATTTTTTATTTATTGGGCGACCAATATTGGTCGCCAATGGAAAGAATTAATTTTTTTTTAACTATAAGCGACCAACCTTGGTCGCAAAATTACCAGAATTTTTTTTTTAAGTGAATAGCGACCAACTGGACACCAAAGTTGGTCGCTTTTTTGGTATATTTTTGGCAGAAACTGCCTGTTTTGGCTGCTACACCACCTGCCAGCTTATACCAAATATCCTAAACAGGCATTTTATGCCAGCAACAACAACAACAACAACACTAAAACGAAAACGCAACAAAATATAAAGATCAATAGAACTAAAACGTTAAGCTAACAAAACTAAGTTAATGTTTATTACAAGCTCATTCGAAAACTAGTTATATTGTCTAGTTCAAAGTATATAAAGTACTCAAGGAGTGTTCTTTTAGCATCCTCGTTCGAAAGTTGGATTGCCTCGGCCGACTCGTTAGGTGGCTGACTTCGTATGAATTCCCCCACATCAGCTCTGAAGCGAACCTATAAGAAAAATTATATTGAATTAATATTTCAAAATTTATATAAAAGTAAATCAAAATACTTAATAATAAGTAAAAAACTTACATGTATAGTCGAGGCTCGACCCTCGACCCACCTTTCTGAATCAGTCTCTTTCTTCTTCTTTACAATACGAGTTTCATTGAATAGCTCATCTTGCTTCATTGGCATCATAAAGCTGTCCGGTGGCTTTGGTGATTATCCTCATGGTACTATTACTCGGGATGAACTTGGATACAGAGAATAACTTGGATACAGTAGCTGACAGGGTGTGTCTTTTGATCAATTGTTGTTCTCGTTAGCGACAATGATGTTGAGACTGCAATGACATGTGTTTCAACTAGAGATGGTATAGGCAGGAATTTTAACATTTCCTAAGTAGATAAAAGAAA